TAACGGTGAAGAAAATAAGAGAATTGCTCGTAGTTTACGGCAGACCAATCCACTGCAGTAATCAGAAGGAGTCGATGAAAATTGCTAAAAGTCACAGCTGGCTTTGTTTTTACTTGTTATATGTCGATCAAGAAAATTTAAATGAAACTACAGTGTCTCCCAGACATTCAAAGACGTTGCAGTGCAAAACTGCTCAGAATACATAAATTCTGAGAGTTAAGCCTCCGGTACAACCTGCAGCTAGTCGCTTCAATCAAAATGCTTCTGGCCTTCCCGTGGGGTTGGTGCAAATATTTCCGAAGGTCTCAAGTCTCAGCCGGCAAAGTTGACTTAGCTAAGTTCACACCATACCCTGTTTGCGCCAGCACAATACCCATACCGGATAGGACTTCTAGTCACATACTAGAACGGTATTTCGGTGCGGTTTCTGTAACGGAGTAGACTGCAAAACAGTCCGTATTTTTGCGTATTCAAGTATGCGCGAGCAGTCAAACAGAAGGTCTGGAACGAGGCTGAAAACAGAGAGCGAGATTGGGGAGAGACGCTAAAAATACGGTTTTTTTTCTCTCGCCGTACACGCCCTACGGGCGTGTGAGGCTCGCGCGCTTCGCGCTCGCAAGACTCTTATGCCACGCTTTACCGATTTCTTTACTGATTTTGGAAAAAAAAACCCGACTGTTTTGCAGTCTAGTAACGGACCAAAGCTGAGTAGCACCGATCTCTAATTAGTGGAGACAAGAGACTATAAAGGGGACAGAGAGGGCATCCCCCATATACACCCTATTCCATAGGTAATTCGTCTCGAGTTATTTTTAACACCACAGATCTCAAGGGGGATCAGACAACAGCCAATCACATAGCGCGAATGTGTTCCGCGTGGATGACCCACGCTGAGAACCACGCGTCCTTCACGAAATGACGCAGAACAAAATGGGGGAAGACGCGGAGAGCGATTTTGCTATTCCTTTTGTCGACGAAAACGACTACAGCGAGATTTCTGCGAAAGCTGTGTCAGCGAAACCGAAATTAAAAAAGAATCGCCCTTCCTCTCTTGTATAGAGCTAACAGTAGAGCAGGGAAATCCTTAACACACTGAATATTCTCTCAGGATCATTTATAATTTACAGTTTGAAGAGAGCAATTTCTGGTTTGATGTTTATTTTTTTCAGTCTTTATAGCGATTATTCCTACCCACTTACTTTGTCAATTGTAGGCGAACCCTCCTAAAGCTAAATTTCAAGGGACCATATTCAAGCTCAGAAAGAGAAATAAAATTTCGTCGTTGCTTATTTACGTCCTCCATAAAACGCGAAATTAGGCATTTTCACGTCGTAGTCGTGCAAAAACGGGAAAGAAATGAAGAAAAAAGTGTGTTGCACGTGCGAAGTTGTTGTTTTGCTAATTAAACCTATTGTTTTTTTTGACGTTCTAGTTGTCGTCCGCGTCGTTGGATCTTAAACTCCCTAAATTGTACAAACGACCGGTTTCAATAGACCGGCGAAATTTCTCATTTTATTAAAGTACTGAGGTTACGACAACTTCGAGTTAAACTGATTTCACGGGTTGTCAAAGAGTCCAGCGATTCCTTTTTCCCAGGTGAGCGCCGACACATTTCGCTTCAATATTCAGGAATGCTCTCGATCTTTTTACGCTTTCATTGGCTCTCGCCCGACATGTTTTGCACGGCGTTTGGTCATGCGAAACCTCCACGAAACATCCACGCCTCGCGCGAGGTAACTTTATCCCGATTCTAAAAATAACTCGAGACGAATTACCTATGGAATAGGGTGTATATGGGGGATGCCCTCTCTGTCCCCTTTATAGTCTCTTGGTGGAGAGTCAAACAAGATGACAAAGATCGGACAGGTGTCCATAATATACCGGTTATAGCTTTTCGCGTCGGCACGAAATTCTATTCAGTTTAGTGTGAACATAGCTTTGAAGTCTGCTGATAAACACAAGAATTCCTCCTTCTTGGGATACGTCGTTAAACCATGGCCAATTGTAGACTTACATTAAGTTGTTGAAATCAGTACACTTTTCTGGGTAACTGATCACCTACCCATCCCCTAAATAACATTTTACCCTAAGTGAGAAGTAAGTGTTAATGTTGGTTTAGAGGAGGAGTAGGTGGTCAGTTACCCAGAAACGTAAATATGATCCTGTTAGGATTTATCGCACCGTGACAATCACGCCTAGACGTAGGTATGAGTCACGGTTTGAAAGTTTTCACATGCGGCCAAATAATTGAGTAAATTAGCGATATTGTGCAGTGCCTACAATGTCATAGCAAATCACAGTTGAACAGTTTTCAACATAGTTCGCGAGAAAATGGGCCGAAGAGAGCCAGAAATCGAAACCGAAGCAAGATTTTGCCAATCGATAGATACGTATGTTTGTTCGAAAACTGCCTCAAAAAAAGAAAGAGTCATTACATAGTGAATATTGTCCGGCTGCAGACAATTATCAGAACCGAGCTGCTTCATTAAAATTAAGTTTGATGGCAAATCTAAAAGTTAGAGAATACTGAAAAATCTGCCACCTTTAAAAACTAGTACTTTTTGGCTAATAAATATATATCAGTTAAACTAACTCTCATCAAAACTCGAGCGAGCACAATCAAGAAGACCGCGCTAAAATGCTATGTACCAGTGCCGCAAACATTTTTAGACGGACTTGAGGAAAATGGAAACGCAGTATGTGGTCGCAGTGGGTATTGGGGCGGGAAGTGGACGCCTTACTTAGCGGGCGTGACCCATCATCGTGCTCACATTACCTCAAATTTCTCTAGATCTAGTTTCAGGTAACTTGAGAAGTACGACTTGCATGTACCACCTAACAGATATTGATCCGGAGGAAGACGTTGATACGTTTGCTAAGAAGCCCCCAACTTGGCACACTACTACTGTTCGGAAAGATCATGGCAGCGCCAAACCTAGTGAATAATCAGATTCCCAATTTTCTTTCTAGTGCTTCCTTTTAAATTGTGTCATTGCGATTGTCATGCTCAAATTTAAAAATACGTACATAAGTAGACTCTTTGGCATAAAAAGCAATTTTGAATTTCAAAAATTTGGCGAATATATCCACGTTTCGCTTTCAGCTGCCTGACTTCTCATCATATCACCCTCAAAACGCTCAAAACGGCCGTCTCAGGACAACCTATATAATTCCCCCTCCCCGCCCCCCTCCCTAAAGAACTGGCGCCTTCAGCCTCGTTTGGTCCGTCTCATCGTTTGATCGCATCTCTCCGTAACAAAAAAAAACCTGGCTACGAGCCTAGTGACTGTGTGTTGTTAGTGACGGCCTTTGGACGCAGTATTTTATGTCCAGGCAGTTGCGAAGTAAGTTAAAGTCTCTCTCTCAATGCCTAATAACTCATATCAGTTACTACAAACTGCCAATAGGTGCAGATGACAATGATTCAAATCGGTTTCCGCATTTTATCTCGCTTAGTCAACAAACTTCAACAGCAATCGATTAAATCGCTTTTTACCTTTATTTTAGCTTACTAGGGGACCGGTCATTATTTATGTGGGGGGGGAGGGGGTGAGGGGAAAAAATCATGGGGTGGGCCAGGCCTATTTTTTTTTAGACAAAAGGGGTGGGCCAAAAGAGAATTTTACGATGATTGGGGGTGGGTGAATACCTTTCAGAGTACATGAAAAAATCAGTTAACAACAGAAATGATATGCCTGGATCAGCGTATATCCGTAAAATCTTGGAATTCAATGAAAAGCATATCGAGTCAGGGGAGCGTTATGCCGAATTTTTGAAAGGATCATGTGAAGAAAAAGATGGTTCATTGTGCAAGCACTGCTGTGTAACAGATGGACCTGAGGAGATAGCCTGGACTGGACCAGCAACTGAAAGAATACCAAGACCAATTCCAGACCAATCTGAACTTCCTGAATTTAAATACTTGAGCGTTCATACTTCTTCCAATAATGATGAAAATGGCAAGAAGCGTATTCCCGATGATTGGCAGCCACGATCAAATATTAAGAAGGTCTTCGAGCGAGGGAAGTTGTCAATTAATGCATCGGATGCTATCACAGAATTTTCCTCCAAGTTCATTGTAGACGAAAAACTGGTGAAGAATTACATTGAGCACTTGTCGCAACTGCAGTGTCAATGAGATCCGTAAGCAAGAACGAAGAAAAGAAAAGCATGTTCGAGCCTTAAAAGATGTACATTGCTATGACTGGAAAACACTCATAGAGAGGGGGGAGCTTGACACTCTCAAAAGTCCCCGAGTTGGACAAATACATTGAGCATAATAAACTTAGCAAGAACGAAATGAAAATCGACAAAATCAAGCGAATCACAGTACACTATTATGAAACTTCAAAGGAATCTACATTTCCTACAAGCGTCAGTGTTGGTGAGGACAGTGATGAGAGTGACAGTGACAATGACCTTGTTTTGTGTGGTGAAAGTGAAAGGCGAAAGTGAATCAGATGATGACAGTCATACTGTAACAATACAAGAAGGCACATCAACAAGAAGTGGCCGCAGAGTAGGACACTGGTCCACAAGATATGCTGATTTCGTTCAGTGAACAGGAACTCCTTATATATAGAGGTATAGATTGAAGGGGGTTGGGGGTGGGTCGCCTCTTATATAAAGTTATATGGGGGTGGGTCAAGAATTAACTAATGGGCTTAAAGGGGTGGCTCACGTTTTTTCTTTCATGCTAAAACAAAAAAATCCCCCCCACCCCCCCCACATAAATAATGACCGGTCCCTAGATTTTAAAAAAACTGCCTATTTTTGTAAAACCACGAAGTTAAAAGTGAGGACTGGAGTAAGTGCCACTAAATTTCGGTATTTAATTTTTCTGTGTATGACCGTAATTTCATTCTTCACTACTTTAACTTAAATATATAAAACGGGAAAGGGGTACGTAGTCTTACTTGATTTTATGGTCGAAAACTAACGTGCGAACGTGCTCTATATTACTTTAATCTGCGGACTACCACAATTATCAGTATCGTCAGTTAAGAATAAAACGACATTTTGCTGAAAATAACTGAAGGAAACTGGCCACGGAGAACAACAGTTCCATTCACAGAAGAAGCTGATTTGCTGAATGTAAACTGGATTCCTTCAACTTCGTACGAGTTTTTACTGTCTATCACACGCCACGATGGCTGGCCTTTGGTAAGTGATACAATCTCATACGTTTTACCCTGCTTAAGGGAAACTGGATGATGAAACATGCAACCTATCCTTTGTTTGAATTACAGCCTTTTTGGCTTAAAGTTTAACAAATTGGATCAGACCTGACAAAGCAGTAATTCCGTGTTTAAAATAACATCTTTATTACACCTATGATTTATTCGGCAGAAGTAACGGATAACAAAGATAAGGTGTATGTACATAAAATGTGCACGGCAACTTTTCAGTAGCTTTTGAAGTTTGAGCAACGTAAAAAATTAAGGCCACCACCATCTTCCAACCACACCTTATTTCACGAACAGGATATGGTAGTGGTTAACTATACAGACTATATAATGCATAGATATAAACCAGCTACAATTCTGGCAGTAAAAGTTCGACGTCTGGCTCACTTATAACGTTTGTCTGAATGTGCCTGGATCGTCCAACACGATCTATCCATCTGCTTCAGACGGAGAGAATCCGTTGGGACAAACATCGACCTTCACATGCCACGAACTAAACTAATAAATTAAACATTTGTATGATAATGTATATTTAGCCTCGTTCGGGAGAAAATTTATTACTGATCTGATTCAGTTGATTAAAAAAGTCAACACGTCCTAATTTCGACTTCTGATCCAACAGCCTTCGGTTCGTCTCAGGCTAGGAAAAAGTCGCTGTTTGGTCTAGACCTTAGGGCACTTTCCAAAAGTTAGAACTGGCAGGCCAGACCGAATGCGAAAAAAGAAATATTAGCCTTTTCTGCAAATGTTTATTAAAACCCATCTCTACCGCACATACCATTTAGAGATTAACAGATTTGGCTGATAGTCCGGTCCAATAGAAAAAAATACGCGAATCATATAACCCACCTTAGTCACCTTCGCAGCCGTTTTTAGGGTCGTGACACAATGCTCCTCCCCAATATAAGACACGCACTGTGATTGGCTAGTTGGATATGAGAACCAAATTCTGATTAGTCACATCAAGAACCATATTGGTTACATAAGGGAAGGGAATGTAGTTCGAAAGAAGCAGCCGTTTGTGGGAAGGAACGTTGCGTGACGACCGTAAAAGCAACCGCGAAGAAGACTAAAGACTCGGTTTTTCTGTTTTTTGGGAAAGACAGAAAAATGGAAAAATGAGCTAGGAATTGGAGATTATTTCATTTTTCTCACTTTTCTTACAATATTGAAAAACTGAAAAATAGCAAAATAACGCTTTTAGCCGTTTACACTATTTTTTGTATTTTTTAATTCAGACATCAAAAATTATTTCAAAAAATGAAAAAAATGACATTTTCCTGACAATTTTCTGTTTTTCTATTTTTTTCTGTTTTTTAAAATATGTAAATATGATAAGGATAAGTAATACAGGTATTTTCTTTTTCCGTTTTTGTCAGAAAAATGAAAAATTTGACTGGCCCAAGTGTGCCCAGACCTGGTATCTCGTTAAGAGAATCTGCCTTGTTTAATGAGGTTTTCCCCTAAATAACAAAATGACATTATTTTGCAGAGTACCACCTTGTTGATAAAGTAACAATTGTATCATCAGCTAAGAATTAAACTACATTTTGCTGAAGATAAATGCAGGAAACTGGCCATCATTTACACCAGTGCTATTTGAAGAAGCAGGTGAATGGCTTAACGAAAACTGGATTCCTTGAATTTCGTCAGATTCTTTCCCCTTAGCCACATACCACGATAGTGGACCTCTGATAAGAGATACAATCTCATACGTTTTACCCTGCTCAAGGCAAACAGGGTGATCAAACATGACATCATATCCATAGTAACCATTCGTCTCATCTTTCTTGGAGGAATACGTGCCCCTCAATTTTACCAGAGAAAAACCATTTGCCACACCTTTCACTTCTAATGAAGCTGTGTATTCGCCACCTTCACTACCAAAATGCTGCACTCCATGTAACATGACAGGCTTACTGACAGTCAGTTTAAGGGCATCAGAATTACCAAGAGTGTAGTTCCAGGTACCACGGGAACCATGCGGCATCTGAGGGCAGCTTACGTTTTCAAATCTGTAAACTCGATGCAAAAGCCCAGTATTGCGCTGTCTAGGGGAATGCATGAATGGTAAATAAGTCTCTAAACCGACACCACTGTAGTGCTTCATCATCAAACCAATCTCTTTTTTCGTCAGAATGTCACAATCCACAACAACTGAAGCAAACTCCTTCTGCGATATCACTGGAAACCTTATTGCTTTCACAGTTTCCTCGCCAAGAATCCTTCTTTTGACCACGCCATCAGGGGCCAGCCCTTGTCTTTCTACTTCTTTGGTGGCCCAGCGATCAACAGCCTTGAATAAATCCACTTCCTTTACATTCAATCTCTCCCTTTTCACGACAGACTCAACAACAGATCTCTAAAGCGTGACAAATTCTTCTGAATTCAGAGCATTCTCGGTTTGCGCCTCAATTACTTCCCAGCACCGTTCTTCCAAATCTTTATCCTCAAATTTCTGAGCTTGCGGCAGAACAGAGAACACATTCGACGCCGCTAGATGCTCCTGAAGATATTCTGTACACTTATCAGCGAGTGAAGGTACCAGATATTTCTTTGCCAAGTAGAGAATTTGCATGACATTATTTCCGCTTAAGTTCACTTCATCGCTGTACAGAAAACGAAACAACTCTAAGACACTCTCATAATCACAGTCAGGTAATTGAATAGTGCCTGCAGTCTCTGCCATTTCACCGTAGAACATGGCATAGAAAACAGGACTGCTGATTGCAAGTATAAACTTGTGAGCTGGAATGCACTTCTGACTCTTCCGCCTTTCACTTTCGTTCTGCGATGCAGGAACTACGAACTTCACATCACTTAATAATTCGTTATTGAAAATAAATTTGGTTCTCTCGCATATAGTCGAACGTTTTGTCTGCCAGTTATCATCAAGAGTGGCCATTGTAGCGGTTGCACCTTTCTGATTACAACGTATACGTAGCTTGCACTGTGGGTCGTCAACCTTCCCGTCCTCTCGAGTACGGCTACGTTTCTCAATCTAGTACCTAGTGTCTTCGCGGATTTGGCACAGGTCACCCATTCTCTGTTTGAATTACAAACTTTTTCGCATAAAGAGCAACAAATAGGACCATACCAGACAAAGCAGTAATTCCATGTTTAAAATAACATCTTTATTAAGCCTATTTAATCGGCAGAAGTAAAGGATAGCAAAGATGTGGCAGGCATGTATATAAATTGGGCACGTCAACTTTTCAGCAGCTTTTGAAGTTCGACCAACGTCAAAATTAAAGCCATCACCATCTTCCAAACCCACCTTATTTCATGAACCGGATAACGGGTCCCCTGGTGGTGGTTAACTATATAAGTCATAGATATAAACCAGCTATAATTCTTGCAGTCGACTATTACTTAACCTCCATAGCAAGCGTTTCCGTTTGGTTTCAGAGCAAAGAAAGACCGAGGAACAGGATTTTCAGATTTGGCCGGGCAAGAAATGGAACGAGAACAAGCCTAATTTTTTGCGTGGAGTTTGAATCTCGTTTCTTGTTCTTTGCTCCGAAACTACACGGAAATGCTTTCTGCGTAGGCTACCTGTTACTGAAGAAATAGGTCCTTTTAGATTCTGTACTTATTTGTAAAGCTTGCCTCTTTTTTACCGTTTTAAGTGCCGCTGTCGCACATTCTAGGGTTACAGTCGCTTTCGCTGTTCACAAAGTGCCATGTCGCCAGTTTTCAGGCTTATGTTAACTGTCGCTTTTATCCTTCGAAGGCCTCGATACTGCCGTTGGAATCGATCGTAAAAAGGTCCTAGAATCAAAGCCTTGTTACCTTTAAACTGGCATTTAGTCCAAATACATTTGTATTCAGAGTCAAACTCTGGCTACAGAGAAAGAAAGCAAATCAAATTTTATTGCTTGAAATTTACCTCCGCCACGAGCACCAGACATTCTATCTTTCCTAAATATGAAGTAGCCCGAGGTGGAAAGATCTCACTGTTCTTGATGTCTGCAGTAAGCCACGATTCAGTTCTGGTAATGATACCGCGTAACAGGAAATTTTTGTTCGTGTATATTTTTGCGGAATGGCGATTTTTCGTGTTTTGCGGGAACTACGGGAAATCAATGGTGAACATCTGGCTATGCAATAGATGCACATGGGCGGCTCTGCCATTCTACAGGTGTTCGGATGCTGAGATGCTCAACGAGGCCTGTTTTTCGGATACTGATCTTGACACAAATAACATCACACTGACTGATCAGGGAGAAAATGGAACTACACCTAACACATTTACTGGTCCCGACCTACTAAATGCGGCAAGGCAGAAAAATGCCAAGGGCATGTTATTATGTCACCTAAATATAAACAGCATTCAGAACAAATTTGATGAGCTGAAAGATATTATTATCAATAATAAGGTGCAAATTATGGCTGTCAGTGAGACTAAAATTGATCGTTCATACCCAGACTCCCAGTTCCTAATACCAGGGTACTACTTGCACCGAAATGACCGAAAAAAGGGTGGAGGTGGTGTTCTCTTGTTTGTCTCATCTAAGATACTCTCCAAGAGAGTCACCTTTGACAGGTGTTATAAAACTATTGAGCCTTTGGCCTTGGAGATTGGCCTCAAATCGAGAAATGCCATTATACTGGTTATCTACAGACCGCCTAAGAAGCTTACTGGTAAATACAGACTTCTACTTGAGGAGGAATTAAGTCATATTGCCAACTGGGCTAGCCTTCAATATCCGACGGTTATAATAACAGGCGACCTAAACCTGAACAGGATGGAACCCAGCAGCCCTGAAGGAAAGCTTCTTCTTGATCTTGAGGTGGAACAGGGCCTCGAATGTATGGTAACTGAACCCACTCGAATACAAATGAGAGGCTCTCTTATCACTAAGAGCTTGATCGATGTTATTCTCACTAACCACCCGGAACTATTTGAGAATTGTGGGGTACATGATCCTGCGCTCAGTGACCACGGACTTATTTATGGATTCCTGAATGAGACGGTAAAACACCAGAAAGGCAAGATTGTAACATTTAAATCTCTAAAGGATTTTGATGTGGAGAAATACAAAGAAGATCTAATGTATGCTCCATGGCATGTTAGTGAAATTTTCAATTCATGTGACGACAAGGCAAATTTTATGGAAATGCTTCTGTCCAGTATTGTCAATACACATATGCCTACGAAGAAGATGCGGGTTAGGGCTCAGGATGTTCCATACATGACTAAAGAATGGAAAGGTGCCATAAGAGCTAAGAGGAGGGCAGCAAAAAAGTATCTCAAGGAACAAACCAGTGAGAACTGGGAAGCTAGGCGGATAACCAGAAACGAGGCCACCCGACTCCGGAGAAAGGCAATAAGGACATATTGGAAAGAGCAAGCCACTAAGCTTAAGTGCAAGCCGAGTGAGTTCTATAAGACATTTATGCCCTTTCTGACTGATAAGCACAAGGTCAACACAAATGAGCTCAGCCTAAGTATCAATGGGACCATCTGTAGAGACCAATGTGCGGTTTCTAATCACTTGTGTGAATATTTTGCTACTGTGGCTGATGGGATTGGAGACACCAGTGCGGTTGATGACAAAGTTCTCGCCACCCACCCTAGTGTCCAGAATATTACGCAGAAGATGACAGGATATCAAGGCTTCCAGTTTCAGAATCTTCAGAGTTTTGAAGTTGAAAAGGCGCTGCAAAACGTCAATGTAAGGAAGAGTACAGGCTGGGACGGCATCCCTCCCATGGCGCTCAAGCTTGGAGCTACTGAGCTAACAAATCCATTGACGTCACTATTTAATTCATGCATAACCCTCGGAGAGTGGCCCTTGGGATGGAAAAGGGGTGAATGGACACCCGTTTTTAAGAAGGAAGATCCCCATAAAATGGGAAACTACAGACCCATAACTGTACAAGTTACTGTAAACAAACTCTTTGAACAATTACTCAGCAAGCAACTCAGTTATGGTTTTAATAACAAACTGTGCGACAAACTAACAGCTTACAGGAAAAACAATAGCTGTGAGACAGCTCTCTTATCTTTGACTGAGAATTGGAAATTCGCTCTGGATGAGCATAACGTTGTGGGTGTTCTCTCCACGGACATGAGCAAAGCCTTCGATTCACTTTACCATCCACTTACACTTGCAAAACTTAAAGCTTATGGTGTTGAGGAAAGAAGTCTGCGATTGATGGGCTCCTACTTCACAGACCGTTATAACAGGGTCAAGCTAGGATCTGTAGTGAGCGAGTGGCAGAGGGTGACCAGGGGATGCCCACAGGGTTCTGCATTTGGACCTCTCATCTGGAACATCTTCCAAAACGATTTGACTTATACTGTTGATGCGAACATGAATATGTATGCAGATGACCACCAGTTTTATGTCGTTCGCAGCACCCTCTCTGATGTGCATGATGATCTTGCTGTTTGCGCTGAGTCAGCATCTTCATGGTACAGAGCTAATTTACTAAAGGGAAATTTGGACAAGTACCAGACAATGGCACTTGGTTGCGGAAGGAAGTCTATGGACAGTATTATGATTGACAATCATGAAGTCAGATCCACTGAATGTCTCAAGCTATTAGGTGTCTGTATTGATAACAATCTTCGTTTTGATGAACATATAAGTAGTATCTCTAAGAAGAGCGCCCAGCGGGTAGGCGTTCTCATGAGGCTCAGGAACCTTATACCCACACAAACTAAGTTACAGTTATATAAGGCAGCTGTTCTCCCGTATTTAACCTACTGTCACCTTATATGGCATTTTTGCCGTGCTAGTGATTCTAGACGACTAGAGCGTATCCAGGAAAGAGCACTTAGGGCTATATATTGTGATAAACATTCGTCCTATGGTCAATTACTATCTATGGCTGGGATATCTACTCTACACAACCGGCGACTACAGGACATAGCTATTCTCATGTATAAAGTTAAAAACAACATGTGCCCAGCATACATTAGCACTCTCTTTGAACAGCCTGCAATTAAGTATGAACTGCGCAATCATGACTTCACTATACCCAGATTCAACACAGTCTCCTTTGGAAAGCACTCGCTCAGGTATATGGGCCCAAGGGTTTGGAGTTCTGTTCCTAGTAATGTGAAAAAAGCTTCCACGTTGTCCTCCTTCAAATATAACATCAGAAAAGTGGATCTTAGCATGCTATTAGATGACAATAACTGCTCTAACTGCTCTCTTTGCACTTCTTAATCTTTTATTTCTTTTTTTTTTTTTTTTTTTTATAAGTAATGGATACATTTGTACATATTGTATATAGTTCTCTCGAATTTCTCACTTGCTTATACTGTACATAGTTTTTCTTAATTTTTAATTAATTTATTAATTGATTTATTTTTTAAAATTTATTTTAGTGTCCCCACTTAGTGGTTATATACCGCTATTACAGTTTGACACTTTAATAAAGGTATCATCATCATCATCAACTAATTTTTTGCGATTAGGGCAGATTTGCTTTTCTTGCTGGGAATTAATTTTCGCAATTTTTACAAAACCTATAGCACTGATAATTGTTTTTATTGAGTTCGTGCAACTAGAAATACATAAATTATAACCTGAGATCAGGCCCAATTTTAGCGGTTCGCATACATTCTCTCTAACGGTTACCGCTAACAAATACTACGGTAAAACCAGTATAAATGTATTTCATCGTATACCGCTTGGTTTCTGAACAAGAGACAAGTTGTACTTGAACAGGCACGATTTCTTAGCACTGTAATTTTGTGTAGCGAATTTAAGTTAGAGAATACTTACTCTGGAGTAAATTTTTTCCGGGAAAAATGTCTGTGGTAATTTTTATTTGCGGGAACTTATTTTTGCGGATCGCTGTAAAAATCGCAAAAATTATAACCCACAAAAATTTCTTGCTACACAGTATCTGGCTTAAAGTCATCACTGATTGAGATAAGCACGTTTGTTTCTAATGCTTTGACAATTTAAGAGGTAGAAACCTACCACTGAGCGCGCCGAAGAATTAACCTTGCAGTATTGTAATAAGTGAACACGATCAGACAAGGTTCACCGATTGATAAAGTTGTTTCCGTAACGAGAATGAGATGAAGCACGGGAATGGTACCAGCGGTTAGTTATACGGACCGTTATAGAAGACGAGCCCAACGCCACGGTGAGCGGATGTGCTTCCCCGCACCATAGAATAGCAGAGGTCGAGCCCTGAAATGTTGCGGTACTATTTGGACGACCACAAGGACGACATTTCAACTTAAGTTTTCTCGTCTATTCTCCAAAAGTAGACACTCCGGAAAGCTTCAAGAGTAGCCTTCTTTTAGGGGCACCCAACGATGGTTCCTCCTAAAAACTCATTTAAAACACTTTTTAGGCTATCCAGAGAACTTTTAGGTCTCTAGAAATGCATTATAAGCGGCGCTATAAAATTTGTATCTGTTCGGTCATCCTACGGCAATTTGAGTCTGTTTGAAATCATTAGGGCATTACTTTCCCGAAACTTTTAGATGTAATTTAACGTTTTACGAAAGTGAGAATTTTCTAATTCTTCTCTACATCGCATTTTTGAATCAGAAATTTTTAGGTTTCTTATTTACTACGAAAAATAGCCAACCTGGGGAGTAAAATGTGAAAAATTAAACTTCAGAAAATCGTAACGGATTTATTGCAAAAGCTTCTAAGGTTGTACATGAATGGAACAGTCATCTAGAAATTTTTAGCCGTCCTCAAGTAATAGAAAATTCTAGGCAATATTTGCCTCTCCGAACAGATATTTTACAGAAAACAGTCGTTGGGTGCCCCTGTTTGTTTGTTTTTTTTTGTTTTTTTTTTTCACCATGAAAGTTATCTCTGTGATTACTTTCGTTGAAGGAGTTAAAGACCTCTCCCGATCGCTAAATGATAAAATTCCTAAAATTTAATAACTTGTTTTCGCCACGTACTACAGTAGAGATCTTTAGATTCTTAGACAAGGACGACTACGGGAACAAGATTTTCTCAATACTAAGTAGTGTACGCGCGCGAAACAACGTCATTTTGGCGAGAAAATGTGGTAGCCTTTGTCAGTCTACTACGAGGTCTTTTTCGCGAGAATACAAGTTATCGAATGTTAGGGCTTAACCTTCTTCAACGGAAATAAGCGTGCTGACTTTGGTGTTGAAAAAGAGTACATTGAAGCTTTCCGGGGCGTCTATTTTAGACAATCTCGTTCCCAGGTTCTCTCTCTCTCGCTCCGTAGGGACGCGTAGCAGAGAACCCTGGGAACGAGGTTGTATTTTAGAGAATAGAATATTCTCGCTAAAACTCGTAGTAGAATGACGACGGCTATCGCATTTTCCCGCCTAAATCACGTAGGTTCACGCGTGCGCTCTACTTAGTACTAGCTGGGATAAATTCTTTCTCCTTGTCGCTATTGCTCGTCTTTATAGACTTCATAGAATCTAAGGGTGCGTTCCTTTGGGATGATCCGGATCAGGGTCAGTGATCCAAGATCACTCGGATCATGGTAGATCAAATGAACCGATGAATCCACTCTGGACAACGATTCATCGGTTGGTTTAATCCACGATGATCTCGGATCATCTCAAAGGAACTCAGACCCTAAGCCGTCTGTTATAACACTGGAGTGTGCCGAAACCCAAACTAATGTAATTCGTACTAAAGGAAAGGGAAAAACCCTGGGGACGAGGTTGCCACAGAGTTTACCCTTAAAATGAACTAATCCAGGAAAAAAATGTATTAAGATTCCTTTTGTTTTTATCTAGAGAATCGTGGACTAGGTGAACTTTGCTCATTCTGTAGAAGTGAGTCCCCAAGTTGCAGGGGTATCATTTGTGTCAAGAGTGACGGCTGATCTTGGGACGGCGCACGGGCCAATGCCGGCCCTTATTGAGTTTGTCCCGCCTGCCTTATCCCAAGGTTTGAATAAAGGGGGAGAGGTGGATCCACCACTAAACAATGATCCCCTTCTATAAGATCAAAGATCGACTCTGAACGGGGCTACCCCGGGGGTACCCTGGGTTCCAGAGGATATTTTTTTCCTATCGATACTGATCGTTCGCGGAGAAGCTGTGTTAAGGAGGTGTCAAGTACCGAGAAAAAAAAAAAGCACGGTTTATTTTATATTAGGTTTTTTGAGAACGAACCTCTGGAGCCAGGGTACCCCGGAGGCTAACGGCCTTAAATGACACTTTAAACTCTGGGTTTTGTAGCACTTAATTTTAATTGCACTTTATAACCCCTAAACACTAAAATTTGAACACCAAACAGGGAACGCTGAGTTAAAGTTTCTGTATCATTTAATTTTACACCGAACCTGCTGTTTGCTTTATTAACAACTGATACTATAAAAATGGGCAAGTAACACACAAAAGTGAAACCCATTCAGGTACCCCTCAAGATCCTCGTAGTCGAGCAAAGCAGTTTTCACAAATATGATAACAACAAGGTCCGTCATCTAAAGCCATCTTCCAGTTATTGTCTTTACATCTCCCACCACAGCCTCCAGGAGCTATGCACATTGCCCTACACCCAGGAGAGCTCAACACTCGGTTACATGTAGTGCATCTTTCTTGAGGAATCTTTGAAGTGGCAGCATCAGTGATCCCCATGAATCCTTCTGCCAGTGAAAACCCACCACCTCGGTGGCCATCAGTGCTCCTGCATGGTCATAAGGAGGGTAATTTGATCAATAAAAGGATATATAATGAAAGAATGAAAGATGGTAAATAGTAAAAAGTGTTCCGCACAGGTTGCTTACAGTCAGCAACTCTGGTAGACTAAGGGAAAGGTTGGAAAAAACCCACCAACCGTTTTTCAACTTCGTAATGGTAAAGGAGAAAGGGCCAACAGAATCCAATAAAGTGATCCAGTTATTTTGACCATGAGGCTACTGCTTCGGTCATCAATTTTTGGGATTCTTTACCCTTAAATACTACGCTGCAAAAGGGGAAAAGTCTGAGAAGAAAAATATGATACTGCAATGGTTTCCTTGTAAGGGTGCCACCCTGCTAACTGTGAAAAAGAAGAAAGAATTGGTCGTAGTCACAAGGAGCCCATAACCTGGAACGAGCAACTCGGTTCGTGTGATGCAACCACATTATCAAAGTTAGACCAGTTTATTTTTAGATCGATTTTCTTGAGAATTTTAATCAGTCAAAAACATTTGTTTCTCTTATTTTTGATTTATTTTACTCTTTACTACTTTTACGTCAGTAATAAACCGTGTAGGGAGTTCGTAGTCTTACTTCAGTGACGGCTGAGAACTAACATGCGATTATGCTCGGGTCTAACAGTCTCTAAAGTCGAACCTCCACCAACTGCTGCATCTGTACAAGTGCTGCCTTTTCGGTGGACAGTCCATACATTGCGAATCTTGTTTAAAATTCTCTACAGCAGCCATTTTCGTCTGTTCCCAAGGTGGCCATTGTGGAGAAGTTCAACTGTATTTTCAAATCATTCCTGCATGGCTATGGCTATGGCTTGAATTCTGCAAGCACCCTAACAACAGGTGGTAGCTAGTCTGGGAATTAAGGAAGCATTAGAAGCTCTGGTAGAGTGGAGTATGCTTTATTCCTAAAAAGATTCTAGCTTGCTGGATTAGGTTTTTTCCTTAAATTGCATGTTGCCAAGTACCTCAAACGATCAACAAATGCAATATCATCATTAAAGAATTTTAAAAACTACATTGTGCTGAAAATAAGTGCAGGAAACTGGCCTTGTTGGCCAGAAGTTCCATTACCATGAAAAGCACCTGAATTGCTAAATGAAAACTGGATTCCTTGAACCTCGCCAGATTCTGTCCCAGCAGTAACATACCAAGATGGTGGGCCCTTGATGAGAGATGCAATTTCATACCTTTTACCCCGCTCAAGACAAACTGGGTGGTCAAACATGACATCAAATCCATAGTAAACATCTGTCTCATCTTTCTCGGAGGAATACGTGCCTGTTTGTTTTACCAGAGCAAAACCACTTCCTGCATTCTTTACTTCTAATGAAACTTTGTATTTACCACCTTCACTACCAAAATGCTGCACTCCTTGTAATGTAACAAGTTTACTGACAGTAAGGTTGAGGGCATCTTTACGATTATGGCGGTAGCTCAAGCCATTTAGAAAGGTTCCGCTATGCATTGCAAATCTGTAAACTCGATGCGAAAGCCAAGTTCTACGCTGTCTAGGGGAATGCATGAATGGTAAAGAAGACTCTAAACCGACACCAACGTAGTGTTTCGTCATGAAACCAGTCTCTTTTTTCGTCAGAATTTCACAATCCACAACAAACGAAGCAAACTCCTTCTGCGACATCACTGGAAACCTTATTGCTTTCACAATTTCCTCTCCAAGAATCCTTCTTTTGGCCACGCCATCAGGGTTCAGCCCTTGTCTTTCCACTTCTTTGGTGGCCCAGCGATCAACAGCCTTAAATAAATCTACTTCCTTTACATTCAATCTGTCCCTTTTCACGACAGACTCAACAACAGATCTCTCAAGAATGACAAATTCTTCAGACGTCAGAGCATTCTCGGTTTGCGCCTCAATTACTTCCCAGCACCGTTCTTCCAAATCTTTATCCTCAAATTTCTGAGCTTGCGGCAGAACAGAGAACACATTCGACGCCGTTAGATGTTCCTGAAGATATTCAGTGCACTTATCAGCGAGTGAAGGTGCATGACATTACTTCCGCTCAAGTTCACTTTATCGCTGTACAGAAAACGAAACAACTCTAACAGACTTTCCTTATCACAGTCGGGCAGTTGAATAGTGCCTGAAGTCTCTGCCATTTCACCGAACTTCACATCACTTAATAATTCGTTATTGAAAATAAATTTGGTTCTCTCGCTGATAGTTGAACGCTTTGTCTGCCAGTTATCATCAAGAGTAGCCATTGCAGTGATTGCACCTTTCTGATTACAAGGTATACGAAGTTTGCACTCTCGTCAACGTTCCCGTTTCCCTCTCAAGTACGCTACGTTTCTCCATCTAGTACCCAGGGTCTTCTCGGGTTTGGCACAGGTAACCCATTCTTTGTTTGAATTACACCAGGTGTATCGGTGGGGCTCTAGCGGGTCTGGGCGTTATCACTAGCGTTATAGATATTGTAGATGCAGCCACTGAGAAGGCTCCTGAACTCCCGGAGTGCGAGCATTGTGGCCACGCAGAAGCGGAACAACCCGGCTGTAGTATGATTTGCAAGGGGTGCGCAGTGGAGTCTAACTATTGGCGAGATGCTAGCGCCAAACATAAATGTTTTAACTTCTGTGAGAACTGTTGCAGCTGCCGTGTCTGAAATGCAACAAAGCGCCTGCCAGCAGAAAAGAACACCAGAATTCTTCCAAGATGAGAATCCACCGCTGTTTGTCGACGCAACTGTACGGTACACAGAAAGCCGGCTAGATCACCGGTTCCTCGCCAACGATCGATGCAACAAAGCGCCTGCCAGCAGAAAAGAACACCAGAATTCTTCCAAGATGAGAATCCACCGCTGTTTGTCGACGCAACTGTACGGTACACAGAAAGCCGGCTAGATCACCGGTTCCTCGCCAACGATCGGCGGTACATCTGCCGTGACGGTGTGCTGTTCCTGTGGTTGAATGGTTTCTTGGTCCAGCGCTTATCGCAGGTAGTATGAGACTTCCTTTTTCTCTCTACACCAAGTAAGGGAATCCAGATTCCGGAACGCAGGAATGTTTTTGTTTGGTGCAATCCGGAATCCAAGAAGTTCTACTGGCAAAGAATCGATTCGGAAATCGGGAATCCAAGCTCCACTGACAAGAAAATAAGAAACTCATTGGAATCCAGTACCGGGGAATGGGAGTCCACACTGAAATCCAGAATCCAAGGCTATCTTTGATTACCTTACAAGTACATGGGGCGATTTCTTTGACATTTTCCCCGGCCGTTTGAGTCATTTTTAAAGCTGTCATTTTGCTGGATTGTTGTTAGGCTTATTCCGGTGTGAGGAAAATTTCCGTGAAATTTCCAAGGATCTACTGGAAAATTTTTTGGTGGAAAGTATGGAAAAGAGGTACATGATCATGAAGTCCACTTGAATGTTCAAGTCAAATATGTGTTTTCTTGGCACGTATGTACCTCCGACCTGTTTGAGAAATGATTTCCATAGACCTCTTTCAATATGGCGGCCTATTATCTTAATATCTTCTTGGCTATCGTCTTTTAAATGTATCATAATCAGCCTTTCTGGCCTCGTTTGAAAGTAAGGATTCTTTTGTATTTTACACATGCTGAAAAGGTCAGAAAGTCTAATTATCATACATATAAAAGAAAACACTCTATCAATAGGCAGTCATTATGAAAGAGGTTTATTAGGCAATGGCTTAGCCTGTCCCAATTCACGCGCTCATATTTTCGCATGCCTTTCACTTGTTGCGGGATTAATACAGTTTAGAAGAAATACCAGAACATTTTGACAAGTCGGGATGCCAGGATTGGTGTGTAAAATGTGGGGATCGAACAAATAATGTCAGAAAGTATTGTCTGGCTTTATGCAATCATTGTCAACAGGACGATTAATGTAATTAAGGGATTGGTCATTGTGTAGAGAAAGGGGTCAGGGCCGGTGCAATAGGGAGAGCTAGACAGGGCCAATGGTTTTTATGCTGGACTGACGTTTAGGGTTAACCGTGTACAGCCTATGCCAAACGTCGAACTTTTCATGAGACGAGTTTAGGTCATAGAAAGTTCGACGCCTGGCTCAGTATATTTCGTCTGAATGAATCTGGATCGTGCAACATGTTCTATCCGTCTGCTTCAGACGGAAAGAGCGTTTAAGATCGTCAGTCGGGACAAACGTCGATCTTCACATGCGACCAACTAAACTAATAATTAAAAATTCATATGATGATGTATATTTAGCGTCGTTCGGGAGACTCTGATTCAGTTGATTAGGTCGACACATCCTAAGTTAGACCTCGTCTGACCGAACAGACTTTGGTTCGTCTCATGAAAAGTTCGTTGTTTGGCCTGGGCCTTAGGGCACTTTCCAAAAGTCAGAACTGGCCGGCCAGACCGGTCGCGGAAAATGAAATAGTAGCCTTTTCTGAAAAGTTTTACTAAAACTCATCACTGTCGCGCAAACCACCATTTAGGGATTAACTGATCTGGCTGATAGTCTGGTCCAATAGTTGAATTCTCCTTTCGACTTGACAAGTCTGGCCGTCCAGTTCTTACAAATGGTGAGTGCCCCTTGATTCACACGCCCGCATATATACTAACTAAAGGAGACCATTGCATCTCACTAGTAGGCGTGAAGGAAAAAAAAACGCAAACGATATAACCCACCTTAGTCACCTCCGCAGCCATTTTTGGGTCGTCACGCAACGTTCTTTCCCAATGTAAGACACGCGTTCCCAAAGTCGCGAATAGTTTGGGTATGAGAACCAAATTCTGATTGGTCACATCAAGAGCCATATTATTAGGGAAAGGAATGTAGTTCGAAAGAAAGCAGTCGTTTTGGGGGAGAAGAGTTACGTGACGACCCTAAAACGGGCTGCGAAAAAATGAATAAAAAGAAATAAATGGTCGGGCCTTTTTTAGAGTTTATAGACAGCGAATAAAGAGTAAGTGATAAAATTCAGAAGAAAACAACCTTTATTTTCAATTACATTTCAAAGTTTGTTTGCTTTGGTTAGACGGCAAATACTGTTACTCTTCTTTAAAAACTTCCTGAGGTAACACAGTAGAGAGCTTTAGATTCTGAGACGAGGACGACTAGGAGTATGAGATTTTCTCAATACTGAGTATAGTTTGTCCATCTGTGCCTCCTTTTGTGTTTGCTGTGCTATTAATTCCTTTTTTAGCGTGTTGAGCGGTTATTATTATGGTTTCCTTCAGTTGGTGGCAGTTGCCACTGTTTTTATTTTGATAAATGATAAATTTCGTCACACAGCCCCTTTAAGAACAAACTAGTGCGAAAAGAGAAAAGAAATACCAGTCTGCTTTGAAAGTACAGTGCCGGATCCAGACCTTGAGGTAAGGGGGGAGCAGTCTCCGAAAAAGATTTCTTCAACCCTTCGGGGCTCAGTTTCGTCTAAAAATAAGGAGGAGGGGGGCGGGCCCTTCCCCTGGATCCGCCACTGAAGTATCCAGAGCATCTGGACTCGTCTATTCATAGCATCTACCCATGTAATGGCTGCTTTCCCCGCTTTAGCTTTCCCCTTTTCTTTTTTTTCGTTACAATTAGCAAAATACTAAACCTACAAATTTAAAAGCACACTACAATTCTAATATCTACTATTTAAACTGTAACTTTCCATGGTTATCTTTTTAAGTTAACTCGAAAAGGTTTCTTTCCACATTTTTTTGCCAAATGTAATAAAGTCAATAAAGCGAGCTAAATGTTATTCACCTCCCATTGAAAGATGATGATAATAATAATAAAAACTATTGCAAAAGATTAAACTACTTTGTTTAGTGAAATTATTGATAGATTTGAATTTATGAGCTTTGTAAAAGCAAACTTGCCTGAATTTCAGTTGTCTCCTCACGATTGCGTCTCGAAGAGACGGTTGAAATTCGGGCTAAAAGTAAACGCATTTAACCTTGAAGAACTTTTTACTCAATTTGCTCAGCTTGGTGCATATAACAGCGTTACAATTTGGTAGTTATCCCTTGTCAATTCAAATCTTTTTTTTAGAACCAGATCCTTTCTAGAGCAGTTAATTTAATTAGGTTAGAAATAGAGGATTGGGCAACTCACCAATGGCCTATACTCTTAGTCTTGTGCGAAAACCACAAGAAAAGAAACTGGTTCATTAAAAATCTACTGTACACTTTCTACAATTGTACACTTCTTTATTTAGCCAAACCAAACACTTAAGTCTGAGAAATGGCTAAACGTTCACCCTATTTGTCAGATAGAAAAGCTAAATTAGCTGACTTCTTAACCCTGATAAAGGAATGCTGGATATTTGTGGAGCAAGTTGTTTGCAGTGTGTTGTGTACACTGTAAAAAGGTTAAAAAAAGATTTTTTCCAAAATCCTTAATAGTGGTTCAAATCTCTCAAAACCTTCGTGAACAATTACAAAATCTCTTTCAAGTCAAATCAAGGCTAGTATCGTAATGGCAGTATAAGTCATATGCTCCAAATTTCCCTCTATCCCATCAGGATTAACATCTAATTACTTGTACAGTCAGTGAACTGCTCTGCTTATTATTTCAGTTCATACTTTCATTAACGGGGACAGATTATGAAGTCAAATTTTACATTGCAATTGACCAATGACAATATAAGGTAAATATTCACATGCGACGAAGAAGCATTTAGGTGGGTTGACTAACCCATAAT